GCTTATTTGCTTGTTTGACTCAGTCCAACTGTGTAAATATATTAGCATGGAAATGCATTGAATTTGTGCACTTCACTTACAACCACAAACTTCAGTGTATTTCGTTTCACATGATTAACAGGGTTCGGGTCAGAATCTGTAGAAAAACGTAAACATTTCTAGAACATCCTAAGCTTCTGGTTTTGAGCTGCTCAGTAGTTCATGTGTTTGTCTAAAGCTCAGTTTTTTCCAAAGACTTGACAGTGAAGGATAGTTTATTGGTTCATTGACTCAGAAGGTATGCACACCACACTTTATATCATGTGTTTATCTGTTTAATTATGCACTACTTTTGAGTTTATCACATAAAAAAAGCAAAAGCAAAAGAAAATGGACATAATGTTGCTGATATTTGCAATTTTATTTGTAAGTATTTCCAACAAATACTTACTTACTGTCTTGGTAATTAGAGAAGATGATTGATATGGAAAGATACAAACATTTGATGTCTGGAGCACTGATGTGATCAATTTTCTTGTGAACACATGAACCCAGACCTCAGAGCATCCCCTCCTGCTCCTACCTGGCAGCAACATGGAAAAACTGAGACATTTTTTTCTTTCTAACTTCTTAAAACCTCTAATTAGATGCATCAGCACAAGTATCCTTTTGATTTATTAGTGTGTTTACAAATGGATGTAAATAATTCTCATTATTAGCATTATTATTAACATTTGTCCTGTGAAACGTTTAGTGTGATGTTTTATTAAGAAAGAAAAGTGGGAAATAAAACATGCTAGCTACATAGCTCCTCTGATTTCAGATGGAAGTCTGGTTGCTCACATCTATATTTGATTCAAAAATGGAGAAATGTAGAAGCTTGAGTTACTTTTGAGGCCCAGAGTGTTTTTTTTTTATGGTTATCGCATACAGGGTGGCTTTAAACTGAAAATCCATTTTTATTTGTTATTTCATTTTTGATAAGCACACACCTCCGTGAGAGAAATCTGAAAAACACCATCTATGTAACAAATGGAATCACAGATTTGCTCAGACTGATGCAAAAACCCCAGAGCCTGTTTCTTTATGCTGTTGGTGAGGTGGAGCATGCTAATGGAGACCACCAAGAAAACACAACCATATAAAAGCCCAGCATGCAAATTAGAAGAGACACCTTGCTGTTCTGGTTACTACATGTGGTTAGATGTCAGGAAACATCTGTTTTCATTCAAGCTTGAAGTCACAACATTAGCAGCAGCAACTTTAGCCAGTCCTTCTCTGTGCAGGTTTATCAGACTCACATTGTTGCTCAGGTATATTGAACCTCTTTTCCAATATTTTTGTAAACAAAAAGTTTGGGTATAGATTCAGCTGTCAGATGATCTCACATTTTACTATGAAATACTTTACATGGTCAATTCAATGAGTGCACTTTGCCAAGGTCCTGTGACTGCAAAACAGCCTCCAGATTATCACCCCTCCAGCACCATGCTTGGGAATTGGAGCTAATGTTTGTGTTTGTTGTGCTTGGGATCCAAACTGTGAGAGTATTTCAATCAAAACACACAAACCGATAGTAAGGGTGCATTCACACTCTGGTCCGCCTGAAAACGCAGGTCTGGGTTCGATTGAGGTGAACTCTGGTGTGTTCTGAATGCGTATGTGAATAACAAGCAGGCCGGAAGCAAACTACAACACATGGCATTCTGGGTAAATCAAATCAAATCAACCAATCAGTCCAACAATAGCAGGAGAACTAAGTTGTCGCCTTTTACCAAAAACAAAAGAGAAATCCTACAACAGCTAAAATGTGATCCCACTCCATTTTTGTTTGCATTTTATGAAAAAGGAATTTGTGCTTAGTGTCTTCTTCGGGGGGTTTTTGAGTTTTTTCCTCTGGTGATTCTTAGAGCAGCGCCACCACAGGAGAGAAGGGGAACAGGATTTTTGATTCATCTGACAGTATGGTATGAAAGCGAACCACACCAAGTGAAAATGTAACAATTGTTGCAATTTTGGTCCCCAATCAATCTGGATCAACTGGACTATCAGGCATGAAAAGAACCTAACAAAACTGACTGAATGTGTCCAATGGCCAGAAAACCACAAGCTAGTTTTTCTTTGCAATGTTGCTTTTTTCTTTGCACTGATCTTCATGGTGCTTTGATTCTTTACACTTTTCAGACATTTTGTTGTAAATTTGCTACTGTTTGGCCGAACATTTTATTCTAGAATAATCTGGTACACTGAGACATTTATTGCTGGTTCACACATTCATCAATAAATGAATCTCAAACACTGTTTCAAACAAGAGCTGTCCAAATGATGAACTGAAAAACATGCACTGAAGGTAAGATGAGACATGAACACTGTAGTCCGTTTCAAGCTGTAATCCAATCAGCTGTGCCTCAAAAGGCCTCTTGGAAGTTTTACAGAAAGTCACGGAAAGTATTTTAGTGAAACTTGGACTAATTGGAGCAGCTCTTTTTGACTCTTTGTGAAAAGCACAAGGTTGAACTTGGCAGCGGTGCTTTAAAACAGCTGCCAAACAAAAGCTCTCATACGGAGGTCCTGACAGACAGAATGGGCAATAAATCCTCATTTATGTGATGGTCACTGAGGTGTGACAAGCTGGCTTCCACAAGACGGAGCTAGATCAAAGACTGGGCAGAGATGGAGATGGCTGGATGGACATTCACCTTTGGCGAAAGATTCTGTGCAGATCTGACCTTGACGTTCTTCATCTTAATCTGGAAACCAAAGTAGAAATGTCACGTTTGCAGGATTTTTGGAATGGATGTGGAGCTAATTTTGAGTCTTAAGACTTCAAAGACTTTTCAATACTCACTGTGTAGAAATGATCCTTAAGTTTGCTCCTCTACTGAGCACTGAACCCATAATTTCAGGAATTTCATTTCTTCAATTGTAGATGAAAGGTAAAAAAAAAACAAAACAACAAAAAAAAAAAACAGCTTTGAAAAATCTGATAGGTTTGGAGAATACAACAAAAACATAAACTGGATGCAGGACTTTTTACATTTTTAAGAAGTGTTAGTTAAAGGGGACATAATAGAAAAAAATCACATTTTGTACATTTTTGTACTTCAATTTGTGTCTTAATTGCTTCTAAGAACAGCCCAAGTTCTTAAAAAAAAAACAAAACAAAACAAAAAAAAACAGTCAGCCGTTTTTTGACTATAAGTTCTTTATTTTTTTTGGTGTTTGGAAAATGAGCCGTTTCAAAAACATCCAGAATATAACGTCAGAAATCAGCAGGTACTGCACATCACTAGCAACCAAAGATGTACGGTTATGTAATTGTGCATCAGTTTGCAGTGATTTTCACTTGAAGCGCCGAGTTGAGGGCGTGGCCGGCAGCAGTTTATCTGGATTTAAAGTGACAAAAGGCCCTGAAAGAGCCCATTTTGAAAGGAGCTCAAATTCAGGAGTACCTGTTGATTTGATGAAGCAAAGGCCTGTTAATTTCAAAACAGTAACCACAACTGAGTGAAACAATGGATTGACCAACACTTAGAAAATTGAGAAAATCCAAGGAACTCAGTTAAGATTTTAGAAGGAAAGTTATGGATTAACAGAAGTTGGGAAAGTTTTTTTTTTTTTTAACCATTTCTACGGCCAATTTCAAACAACAGCATGCAAGCATCTGTTATTTAGCTGCATCACAACTTTACAAGGCCTGGAATAACAATCTCAGCTAACTGAAAGGACATTGCTGAAGTTGTTGAGGAACCAAGAAGGCTCAAGTCCACCATGAACTAATTATATGTATTTGGTCCATAACAGTATGAGAGGGGAACAAATGGACCTAATTTTGATTAATACTAGATGTCCACTGTGACCAATTAGTCCACAGAGGTGCCTAATTACCCATGAATAATAAATTGCTCACCAAAAAAACAATAAAAACTTAGGAACGTGCAGCTAAAACAGAAACGTAGGTGGCCAATTAAAAAAAAAAAAAAAATCCTCACAGAAGCCTAGAATGTGAGCAGCAGGCGAGGTGGACGTCCAGTCATTTTAATAATACTTAAAGTTTATGAAATAATACCCTTCCCTCACAAGGAAAATTGTTCAGTCAATGTGATGAACAGCATCAGCACCAGCTTGTTTTGAAATGAAAAGTGTGTAATATTTTATTTCCACATTTATGAATAAGAGACAAGACGAATATTGCTCTGCTGCTGACGTGATTTATCCAGAGACAGATGAGAGATCATTAGAGACCAAACTGTAAATCCAGCTGAGATTTCACAGTGGAAATGAAAAGAAACGGTGCAATGAGTCCATAAGGGACCTGCAATTCAAAAATGTTGAAACTTGATTAACACAGCAGCGACTTATTGGTGAATTTGTAAAAGGTCGAATGCATCAATATTTTCCATCTTGATTTTAAGGAATTATCTGCAATGCAATTAGATTTAGATTCGTTTGTCTAAGTCAGAATACTTACATGTTAAATAATACTATTATGTAATATCTGTAATTCTTTTCCCACTAAAAAACAAAACTAGTAAGCATCCTTCATAAGTTGTGAGAACATTTTCCAGTACTTTGTTTTACTAATTTCTCATGTGGAAGAATTGTGAATTTTGAATTAATATGAGTTCCAGCCAGAGTTGGGTAGTTACATTCACTGGAGTAACTTAAAAAAAATCACTTCTGATTACAATAACAATTTCCCTTTGGGATCAATAAAATATTTCAGAATTTGAATTGAATTTGAATTCTTAATTTGTTCACTGCAATTGACTCATTGACTTGATGCAACCTGCTGGGTTTAATTAACTGAGCTTACCAATTAGAGTCTTTTTTGTAAAGGGCCTTGAGAAATTCGTTGGCACCATATAAATGAAGTGAATAGAAAATAAATGTATTCTCATGTTATATAGATGTTTTTGTGTCACTTCAGTAGACGTTACTCGGTCATTTAATTTGCGTGGTGGAAACGCGGGACTTGTTCAAACTGGGATGGGATTCAACCAGGAGCTTTTTGTTGTGGTCAGGAGGAGCGTCTGGGCTGGATTCAGCTGCCCTGCCGCTTCTCCTCAGGGCAGCAGCAGTGGTGCAGGCGCTGCCTCTATATAAGACCCTCCAAGATGCCTCCCAGATCGCTTCCTCCATCATCATCGCCTTTGACTGCACCTCACACCTTCTGCTCCAGAGCCCCACTTTTACAGTAGCGAATGTTTGGTTAAGTGGAGCGGATTTGTCCGTCTGTGGCGCTTTTTGCGATGTCCGGATTGCAGCAGAAGTTTGTGGAAGCGGAGCGCCGGAGCGCACAGGACGCGCGGCGCAGCCTCCGTCTCCAGGAGTGACTCCGGAGGGAAGTTTTTGAACATGGGGAAAGGAGAGCAAGCGGGATTTTCCACCCTTTAAGGCGTCACATCCCCAGGCGTGGACAATGGACACCCTGAGCCTGTCAGTGAACGCGGTCTCCTCCACCGTGGCAGCGGAGCTCCCCACCACCGACGACCCGTTCAGCGGACCCATCAAGAACATCGCGCCGTGGAACTTCACCGTCCTGGCCGTCGTCATGTTCGTGGTCACCTCGCTGTCTCTGACCGAAAATTTCCTGGTCATGTTTGTCACTTTCAAGTTCAAGCAGCTCAGACAGCCGCTGAACTACATCATAGTTAATCTGGCCATCGCGGACTTTCTGGTGTCCCTCACCGGCGGACTGATAAGTTTCCTGACAAACGCCCGGGGCTACTTCTTCCTCGGGAGGTGGGCTTGTGTCTTGGAGGGCTTTGCCGTCACTTTCTTTGGTAGGTTTAGACTTTTGTTCTGGACTTTTTGGACTCTGTGGACCGATACATTGCAAACTCTGCAGCTGTAGGCGTCAGAATCTGAACAGATGAGTTTGATAACTTCCCTGAAAAGCTGACTTTTACCACCTGCTATCAGAAACGGGGAGAAATGAGAAATTAATATCTGTAAAATATGTCAGAATAACTTGAGCATGCATCCTCTTAGAAAAAAAAGACATATTTTCTGCTGGTGCAGTAGAGATGCACCAATCAGGATTTTTCTGGTTTATTTTGATTCTCAATTTTCCTTGCAAATTCTTATCTTCATAGATTATAACACATAAGACATTTTTTTTCTGATTTCTTGTTAGAAGTAGTTCTGAATCTATCAGGAAATGAATAAATTACATTATTATCACATTTATGATTCAAAGCAAACATCCTAGTATTTGTTTTAATTCACTGAAAAATTGCATTAAGTATGTGTTCATGTGTTTAGAAAATTTAGGCCAACTTAGGGACTGAATCTTTTCCACTGTCTGTCAGAACCCAACCACATACACTGGAGCTAACTTTAACATATCCAGAAATGACCAGAACAGCATTAACTCTGACTTTTAACACATTCTGGTGAACAGGTACAACTCGGAAAAGAGTTCAAATATAAATGAATTCCTGTAAAAAATGGCAAAGATTTACCTTTTAGTACATCTAAAAGGTAAATCAAATTCTTTCATTTATTATTATTAGATGCACCGATCATGTTTCCATCCTGGTACCAACTTCCTGTTTTCCTTGAGGTCTGACTTACTAATATTATATTTGATCAATCCCACTTTGCTTTTTTATAACGCACAAAAAAGAAAGAATATGTTCTTTGATAATGGTAGTGCATCAACATGCATGCTCTTAGGTGATGTGTTAATAGACTAAAAAGGGTGAGTTATCAGTGAGAATAAAAATACATTTTTCAGTTCTCGTCTTATTAATAAAGTAAAATTCACTGATTCTAGTGTCTTTATGATGCAGAGATAAAATAATAAAGTAACATGCTGTGGATTGTAACTAAAATGGGAGATTTATGGTAAAATTTCTCTGCAAAACACATGAAAGAGCTTCTGCTCTTTGAAAGTGGTTGCAGTTTTTGGCTACTATAAGTACAGGGATGGATAAATATAGTTTCCACAGCTCTCGGCATCAGAATCGCAGCTTTCTTTCAGATCACATGCTTTACAGGTGAGTTTGATGGCTTCAATGACTCCACAGATTCCCAGAATTCAATTAAAACTGACGTTTGTCACCTGCTCACGGACAGGAACTTCTTGGAAAAGAATCCAAGATGTATCTGTGAAAAATGTCATAATAACTTTGACCTTCTGAGTGCAGCAATTTCATTCAGTTTCTTTGAGTAGTCATGCACTGAAAAGGTTATCATGTAAAATTTGAAAAGTCTAAACTGACTCACATCTGATGTAGAAGGGACGCACCAATCAGGTGCTTGCAGGCTGATAATGACTCCCAGTTTTCCTGAAGGCCAATTTTGACCAGTTCTAGTTCATTATCACAAATAAATGAGAAATATAAACAGAAACTAAGAAAAGGAAGGAATTTTGTAACTGTTCTAATTTCTGCATCACAGCATTTGCTGTGAAACTCTAAGGAGTTAAAATATCTGTGATGATTCAGAAGAAAATCTTCTGAGTCTTTAGCTGAATGATTTCTTTCTTTATCTTGGAAAATGTACCAAACAATGACTTTTCATGGATAGTAAGTCGTTAAATTCGAGGCGTATCACTGGAGTATTTACATGCAAACTCTGAAATCTGGAGTTTAATCATGTAAAAAATAAAGTCATTTTGCTAAAAAGTTAGAAAAAACAACAACTTTCCTAAGCAACATGAAAAAGTAAAAGGTGAGCCAAAAGTGTGTTGTTGCTCAAACACCAGCTGTAGCTAAATATCCTGCTAAATTCACATTTTCAGTAAAATTCAAAAAGGAACAGAAAAAAGTAAAATAAATTCCTTTAATCCTTTAATAAAAATAAGCAATATTCCTAACATTTCTTATTAAAACACCAATTTCGGACTAATATTTGACACATGAGGTTTTCAGGTTAAGCTCAATTTAGTGAAGCTCAAAAGTTAATTTTTTGTTCATATATTGTTCAGGGGTGAAGAAGCAGATACCTGCCTTAATTTTTTACTTTTTTGCACCTGCAAAGTATTTGCTTTTATGCTCTAAAAAACAGATTCACAAAGTTATGCTCACATCAGCTGCAGAGTCCTGCAGGAGTTTTCTCATGTCTTGCCATAAGTAGGTTACCATCCCCGTGATCACCAGGTTAACTAATTCACTGGGTTTTGCTTTAGGGCCTTCCTTTACTAAAGCACATAGGGAGCTCCGAATGCAGGATCATGGGAATCGGTGAGAATAAATGCAACCAGGAGTACCTGAATAGTTCATGTGGAAGTCTGTTCTTTTTTTCACTCTGAGGAGAAAAAGCTTTTCTTCTGATTCACCTTTGGAAAGGTTTCCCTGGAGGAGAGAGAACGTCCTCAACAGGAAATTACACCAGATTAAAATCAAATCAATGCTTTAATTGGACATTTCCTGCCTTTTTGCAGTGTATCTGAATCTACAGTGCTGTGATAAAGTAAAACAACAACCGGATTTAACGTTTTGTTCAAACAGCACTCTTTAAATGGTCGGTTTGAAACTTCCTGAAGCTGTATAAAAAAAAACACCCCTGGACGTTGATGCTGCTAATTTTACTCTTGAACCTTTATGCCAGATGCTCTTGTTAAAAAGAGGGTGGTAATTAAACAGCCAGTTTCCACCTGCCTCCTTTGTCCTTTGCAGTAAGTCTATCAGGCAGATACAAAGACTACCTGACTACGCAGGGATAAGTAATTAACTCCAGCCTCTCAGAGTGACTTATTACCACAATTAAAGGCTGCCTTTTGTAGCCCCATTAGCAGGCAGCAGAACGCACCCAATCCAGATCATTAAAGTATTTCCAGAAACAGCGCAGCCACGCTGACCTCTGGGATGTCTGCTTAAAAATTCAGAAGCATGTTAGAGACCAAAAAAGGATGTGAAACCCCCTCGTGAGCTCGTTTTTCTGAATCACACACATTAATCACCGGTGCGTTTGTGGTTGCTGATTTCCTCAGGGATCGTGGCCCTGTGGTCCTTGGCCGTCCTGTCCTTTGAGCGCTTCTTTGTGATCTGTCGGCCGCTGGGGAACATTAGACTGCAAGCCAAGCATGCCATCCTGGGCCTGCTGTTCGTGTGGACGTTTTCCTTCATCTGTACCTTCCCTCCTGTTCTGGGCTGGAACAGATACACTGTGAGCAAGATCGGAACCACCTGCGAGCCCGACTGGTGAGACACTCGAGTTTTGTTGCTAATGTGGGCAGTGGAAGCTGAATGAAGGGCACCCTTCTCCATATAAACACCTAGTAATTAGGGCTTGAAATAAACCAACGGCAATATATAAGGTGATAGATTTATGAGCAATATCAATAGAAAACAGCCAATAAATGTTCAATAATTTCACCGAGTTCTGATCCAGATCTGCACAGCATTCTGGGGGATGTAGGCAGAGGGAAAGTGTGAACTGCTCAACTTCTCATAGTCAGCTAAGCAAGTTTGGTGGAGTCAACAAACTTACCCACTCTTCGGTTTCCTAGCAACTCACTCAATCTCTGGTTACCTAGCAACAACCCATTGAGTCACCTGCAGTTTCATGTTTGGTCACCATGCTTCACCTAGAGACAGGTTTTTATCGTACCATTTATTTATCGTGAACAATTTCTTATAGCGATAATTAGATTAATTGTTCTCTCGATAGCTTCCAATTAGCTTGCAGAAATCTGAAAAGTGTGGCTTGTATTTGCATCCAGCTGCTGTGTGGAGCCACTTTTCTCCACATTTCCAGCTGCAAGTATTCTGGTGTCTACCAGTTTTGTAAACCTTCGGCTTTATTTATCTGTCAGACTAAAAGAATATGAACACATGGTGCACTTTTCAATCCTCACCAGGTTGTTATTGTAAGTAAGAATGTTTTTAATAACTCATCTGTATTAAAAAAAAGGTAAAAAAACAAAACAAAAAACCTTCACTTTTTTAGGGGGTGCTTTGCAAAAATTTTGAAAACCCTTTACAATTATGTTTTTCTTCAGTTATGAATGCCTTTTCTTTGTGGTGTGGTATACGTCATAAAATCTCAATATAATACATTAAACTCAGTGGTTGTATTGTGACAAAATCTGGCAGACTTTGAGGATAATTTTACAAGCACTAAGTCTTATGGACTTTTTTATATACTAAACTAATTTCGATAGGTTTCCGCCTAATAATCCCCTCCAGGTATTTACTTTTTATCCACATACCTTTGACACAAACAGAAAAAGGTAACAGACCTGTTGCACGCGGCCCAGGGCCTTCAATCTGAATGCGCTTCATGAAGGGAGCGGAGCAGCAGGCCTGCTGTGACCCTCTGCCCCCAGGGAGCCATCTGGATAACACTATTTAGATGTTTTGATCAAAGGCGTACGGATATAGAGTGGTAGGATATAGAGTGTTGACCTCGAGCCCAGAAAGGAGAATTATTTCGAGGTTGAGAACAAATGGTTCACACAGAACAATTAGCAGATCTCTCATTGGAGAGTCCATGACGTCTGGCTGCGTGACGCCACAGGTGAGTAGAGCAGCGCTGCTTCACAATGATACGACTCAAGAAGTAAAAAAAGTTACAGTGCAGTAAGTCTACTCCTACAAGTAATTTTAAAATAAATGTAGCAGAGTAAATGTAAGTATGACAGAAGGCATTTGGTTAAAAGCAGATCAGAGATTTCAGAGGTGTGTGTGTGTGTGGTCCAGGTGCTGCAGCATCATCAGTCTGGTGAATTTAAATACCTCATTAATGTGAAAAATTTTGACACTGAAAATGAGTAGACCACACATCAGTCCTGCAGCTGTATTCATCTGCAAGACTAGAAAATGTGGCAAAATAACAGTTTTGCAGTTGAAATCTGTGGTAAAAATATGATTAGAAAAGAGATTATTCCCTTATGCAAACTACAAACAAAGAAGAGTAAAGGCCAAACTGGCTTTGATGCTAACAGCAAGGACTAAGCTGGTCTGCCTTTAAATAAAATCTAGAGCAACCAGTTGAGTTCAAAACTCAGCTAATAATGCCGTGTAGCACCCCTGGGTGTCATTCATTCTCAGTAAAATGCTGATTTTAGAGGACAGTGGTGAACAAACAGCATCATTAAGACCAAAGAGCACAGCAGGTCAGGGAGGAAGTTGCTGAGTTTGGGTATAAACAGTATCCATGGATTAAAAGGCCGACCGTAACTCTGGAGGGGCTGCAGAGATATACAATTTTGATTTGCAAGAAAAAAAACAAAACATTTTCTGTCGTGTTTGGAGTTTTCCACACGCAATGCAGAGGAAACATCAAATAAATGGTAGAAGGTGTTCTTGACAGATGAGACTCTCAATCAAAACAGACAAAACTGACACGGTTAAAATAGAGGTGGCAGCATCATGATGTGGAGATGATTTCTGCAGCAGGGACAGAGATGTTAGGGTTGATGTCAAGATGGACGCAGCAAAATAACTGAATCCTGGAGGAAAACCTGCAGCTGGAATGGAGGGACTGAACACAAAGGCAGGCACAACTTTCCAAACTTATTCCACTCCTATGCTTCATATTGATAACACTTGAAAAACATACATTGAAATTTGTTGTAATATGTTAAATGGTAGACAAGATCAATGGGTGTCAATACTGAAGGCACCACTTTTAAATTCATTTAATGATTAATATAACCTGGTGGTGTGCTAATTAACTCAATTGGACGAAGGAGCTAATAGCCAAAGTGCTTGTTTCAGACGTTGCTAATGACAGTAAGAGTTAAATATTTGAACATTTAAAGAAATTATAAAGATGGAACTAATTAAAACTACATAGGCGCATGAACATCTCCCTTTAGCTGTAGAAATACTTCAAATGGTTTACTATATTTGTTATATTCATATTGATTGATTATATTTAAATGGGACAGTTCATATTAATGAACGTACAATGTTGTCAAAAATATACCGGAGTTAGAGAAATGCTAATTTTCATCCATGGTGCCATAACATCTCAAAAAACCCTTTTTGAGGGACAAATAACAAAATACTAATGTTTTTTTTTTATGTTTACAAAACCATGTTGCAAATATAACTAACACAAAATTTCTTAAATGTACCCAAAAGTGACACCTTATCGATTTAGGACCTGGTGCTGCTAATATGTGACAGTGTCACAACACACTAAGGATGATGCATTAGGGGCTAATTAGGGATAATCAAGATGACACTCTAATTACACTTTATTAAATAAAGACTGCAAGTTGTAGCAAATAGAAATAATTATAGTGGATCTCTTTAGATCAACTTTTTGTCCTTGTATCAGAATTAACTCAAACGTTGTCGCTCATTTCCTGTTTTTGAGATTACCTAATTTCTCAACTGACCTCAATTTGTCTGATTAACCAATTGAGAAGACTAAATATCTAATTAAGTGAAATCAGTCTGATTAAAGATGAGGTACTGCTGCCTGCTCACACTGATAACTGACATACCGGAAACATAGCTTGCTAAATGTTCAAATGGCATTATGGTAATTGGGTTACACAGAACTGAGTTAACTTCACAGTGTTCTTCTGTTTAAAATAAAGAAATAAAATGTTGTGAGATCTCACCTTTAGCCTGGAAGGGACAGGCTAAATGAAAAAAAAAACCTGAAAAGGAGAAATCTCTAATGAAAGAGTGTCCAAAGTGCAAAGCAGAGGCAAATGATTCGACACGGCCATCGATCACAATTCAAAAATGGGTTGAATTTGGTTTGGAAACATTTAAATAAATAAATAAAAAACTTAAGGGTGCAATTTTCGCTAACGTAAGGCTGTTTAAAAAGATACAAATTCATGTAGAGAGCAATATGCAATTTGAAAAATTAGGAAATTGTTTGCCGTTTGTATTTTTCTTCAACCAGATAAACCTTTGAGATACTGATCGGTTTTCCTGAGAAATTACTTGTTTTGTAAAAAAAAATATTGTGTGATTAATTTACTGTTGAACAGGTAAACATGAAAAAAATAAAGTAGTTTTTTGAAATTTTACTGAGAGCTAAATTTTGTGGTGCCCTAAGCACTTTGAATTTAACATTTTTCGAAGCCAAAAGTTTGAACACCCCTGCTATAAACAGCTGCACTTTTACGGTGCATTCAAATACATCACCTACATCACACTACTGCTGAAAAACTGAGTTTTTAACTCATAATAGACACCTAAAAGTCTACTTAACTAACTGGTAAATTGCAGAAGCAACATTTCCTGGTCTGGGCTTTACTACAACAGAATCATGCTGCTCTCTCTGCCAGGTGGATCCCCAGAAATTAATCTGAATGGTGTTTCTTTAGAGATTCGTAGGTGTTCTTATGGAAACAACTTAATTAGGTTAAATTGATGTCCTGAGGGCTCTTAAGTGTTTGCAGAGATTAGTCTCAGCTGTGAAATTTTCCATTTAACTAAAGCTCAAATGAGGAGCCAAACTGTGATGTTTCTCCCGAGTCACATAAAAGCTCCTGAATTTCACAGCGTCTCATAGCTGGGAATTGATTGTTTGCCTTCTGGTTCTTAAAGCGACACTCAATTAGTGTAGCAGCTGATCCAAGTATCTGCTTATTACCTTATCAAGAAATACTGTAACAGTAAATACCAAATAGCTTACAGTGATTATCAATGTTTTTTTTTTATTTTGTCTTCCTCTCCACAGGTATTCAACCAACATAACAGACCACAGTTATATAATAACTTTCTTCGCCACTTGTTTCATTTTACCACTTGGAGTGATTTTCTTCTGCTATGGGAAACTCCTCAGGAAGCTCAGAAAGGTCAGTTCTGAGTTGGAAGACATTGTGTGCAGGGTGCTGCATAAAGTTAATGTTTTTATGATTCCCAGCATTACTGCTAGATGATAGAGATACAGTCGTGAAGTGCATAGTCAATCATCGTTTTTTTACACAGTTTGTAATTGGAAACACCTTCAGTAGCTCTGTCTCCATCACAAATGTCAATATGCTGCTAATGCTGAAAAAAGTCAATTTCACAATTGCAGCATTTTCTTTAATTTAGAAACGCTGTCAACATCACACGTCAGTAAGTTTGTTCATGCAATAAGTTAAATGTTAACATGCTGCAGTGCTATCCTCCTATGACTTCCTGTCGTCTTCTTCATCTTTTCCGTCAGTAGTAACATTTGATTGTTGATCACTTGACTAGTATAATGCGAATAAAGTGTTTCCATTGCAGTTTTGCAGAATGTATAATTTTTTTTTACAGCTGTGTCCCTGGAATCTTGTTCTAATTATTGTCCTTTATGGATGCTGATATTTTGTATATGACCAAGAAAAGGCTATAAACTGCTGACTTTTTCTGCAAAAAAAAAAGAAAAAAGCACACAATCGTTTTGGTGACATAATTCATCGATGCATTAATAATTTCTGTTTCCTTCAGGTATCTCATGGTCGTCTGGCAACTGCCAGAAAGCCCGAGCGGCAGGTGACCCGTATGGTTGTGGTGATGATTGTGGCGTTCATGGTGGGTTGGACCCCTTACGCAGCCTTCTCCATACTGGTCACAGCTTATCCCACTATTGAGCTTGACCCAAGGGCGGCTGCCATCCCGGCTTTCTTCTCCAAAACAGCCGCCGTTTACAATCCAATCATCTACGTCTTTATGAACAAACAGGTGACGGTTCTCTTTAAAGCAATATGAAGAAATATTATCACAATAAAGAGCGTAGCAATCTATTTTCATGCAGCTTTTTGGAAGTTTAAAATATCAATAACTTTAGCCAGATCATAAATGGTCTTAAGACGGCACAGCTAAGCATTTCTTGCTAAATAGCTGCATGGAGTCTGGATGTCCATGTGATTACAAAGAGGGGATTTGCAGACCTATGGATGTAAACAGCATTGAGAAGACAGGGAATGATTTCAATGGGGTTGCCTCAGACAGACATAAGGTGCCAACAGTCATGTGAAACAATTAGGACACGCTAACCTCTGGAAAAACACTGGAAAAAATATGAAATAACAGCACTTAAGCAACAAAAATTAATTTTCCTGTTTAATTACATTTAATATTCTATAATGGTCAGCTGGCCAGGTCCTGCTGGAACAAAGCATCCCCATGAAACTGGTCTGAAATTATTTTTGTGAAATACTTAATACTTTTTCATTTTGGCTGTGACTTTGTGCAAGCAAGACAATACAGGATTGCATAAAAAGTGTATTACAATAAAAAATAAACATTACGATAAATTCTCACCAATATTTTGAGTTTCTGTAGGCTTTCTTTTTACGTCGATGGTTTCAGAGTGAAAGCTTCGACCTGAACATGGTGACAGTTATTTTAAAGCCTCCCCTCTTGTAGACTATTTCCTATAAAGTGGAAAAGCTGATTTGAAATTCCTTTGAGATCTCTTTAAATCCCCCACCAGACTCATAAGCAGCTAGCTTCTGTCTAGAGGCCTAAGGCAGCTCTTTCTATCACAATGGTGTTCACATTTACTTCAACAATGAGGATACCAAACTAAATGTCCAAGTTTCAAACAGGATAAACATTCTAGTCATGTGGGTCTGATTTGATATACATTTATGTAATTTTAGCCCAAAGCAGATTGAAATGATGGCCACTTATGATAGTTTTATGTTTTTAGATGTCAGAAGTTGAATTTTTAAAATCTGGCAGGTTTGAAAGGTTCTCTTGTAAGTTTTATTTTATTATTTTATTGTTGAAGCACGTCCTAATTTCCTTCACATGACTGTATGATTCCAGCTGACCTGCAACAGTCAGATATTTTTTCCCCCACTAGGGTGCATAACAAGGTGAGCTCAAACAGTCTGAGGGGATTTCCATGATGCGTGACTAACTCTGCTTGTAGTTAGTGGGTGAACGCCTTCAGCCAACTCAAAGGTCAAAAGTCGCTGACTATGAAACATCCTTGGATGCATCACTTCATGAGGTTGTTTAAAATGTTTCGAACAGGTTTTAATCTCTCAGTGTTACCTCGCTTAGTTTTAGAGTTAAAGTATTTAGAAAATGCTAAAGATTTGAGTTGAAGTTTGTCATGTTACATTCAAAATTTCAGTTTATTTCATTGGCAGTTTCTATTACAGCTGCATGTGTTTTGGGGTTCATTCACTTTTGCAAAAATTAGCTCAAACTCAGTCATATTGGATAAAGAGTGTCTATGAACATCACTTTTCAGCTCTTGCCAGGAACTAAAATCAGATTTAGGTCAATCTGATATTGGTAGACAAGGGGCCTCTGCTAAAACAAGGTAATAGTCGGGCTGAAAGATGAACCTCCATTCCTGTGTGAAATGTTTTGCAGCCTAAAACAGGTTTTCTTCTAGGATAGCTCTGCTCCATCCATCTTCCCTTATCTCCTTTTTACCAGTCGCATTTCTAAAAAGCAGGTACATTTCGAAGGAAATTAGTTGCTCAACATTTTCTTTCAGAGTGCAAGAGTAAAGGGGACTGAGTACAAAAGAAAACCATGATTGCAATTTTTTTATTTGTAAAACAGCTGGTGTTGGTGTGCCACATAAAACCCAACTAAAAATATTGAAGTGTCTGGTTGAAACCTAAAAACAGTTAAATACTTCAATAAATAAAATAAATATTTGTCATTTTGTAAGGCACCACAAGTTCAGATATAATTGATAGAATAGTTAAAATATAACTGACCAAAAATACTACAAGCAATAACAAATAGCTGTTTGTAGATGCTTTAATTATTTCATACCAAATGACTTCATTTGGTTATAAGAATAAATGTTTTAAGGCCACTCATTAACTGTATAAAAGCACAATATTTTGCAGTTTGCCATAGCATATGTGTGTGTGTGTAAGCATAATGTAAAAAAGTAAAGAACTCATTCTCAGTAAATCTGCTATAATTTATCACCTTATAATGACAAAACGATGGAAGGAGTCAGAGGACTGTTTAGAAAGGTTTGTGTAATGTTTGTTGCACATACACTAAATGGTGAATAAAAACATCAGATCTCAAAACACTTTGAAATTCTGAGGTGGGACCTTAAGGAAGCTGTGCCAATCATTTTTTGATGACATTGGGACCTAAAAAAACAAACAAAAAAGAGAGAACCCAGATTTCACCACACTTTCAGACCTCTAAAGTCAGACAGATTAATCACCACTGAGATGTCGCTGGTAAAGATGGTTTGCAGTCTACTGAATCATGGGGGTGTATTTATTTAACAGGCTTCCTATTTTGGCTCCGCTCTTCATTAATAAGCATTTACAGATTAAAATGCAATCGGTTTTTTTCCACACTTAAAGTTAGATTACTATAATCTTAGAATTGAGATAAAATTGCTTCATTTTTTTGTCCTGAAAACATAAAAAACCCCTTTCAGAGGATGAACCTGTTTCACCATGACTGGAATATCTCAAATGTTGTGGATTGAGAAGAGTTGACCTTCTGTGAACAATACGATGTCCATCAGTACCTCTAAAGAAACTGCCAAACCCAATTACATTTGTAATAAAGTACTTGGTCCACAAAGTCTGAAACGGAGAATTTTAAACAGTTCTTTTGAACTAAATATTACATTTCTATGCTTTTTCTGCAGTTCAGGAAATGCCTGATCCAGCATTTTACCGGCATGGGAACCATCCCAGAAAGCAACATGAATCAGACCACAGAGCGACCCGGAATTACTGCCGAGAGTCACACGGGGGAAATGTCTGCCATCGCAGCCCGCATCCCTGTAGGCGGCACCGTGTCTCCCAGATCCGATGACTCCCCAACTGACTGTGGCTCCTTTGCTCAGCTTCCCATCCCAGAGAACAAAGTGTGCCCATTGTAACTGCAAGCCTTCTTCCATTAGGTGTCATTTTTCTCCCTAAGAGTGAATATTACCAGTCTGTCATCCAGCTACAGTGTGCTTCAGAAACTCTGTGGACGCTAAGAGAAATTCAGATAATTAGTCAATGTCTTGGCTATACTTTGAGGGCACTGGCACTTTTGAAGAACCTTCATTGTTCTCTGGAACTGTGGAAAAGTTTTGTGCTTTAGCCTGTTTTGGTAGTTTGTTATATTTTGTTTAAAATAGGGCCAGAAAACAGCAGTAACAGATATATTCAGCCTTTGCCCTGTAGGCCACTTGTAAATACTCAATACTCTCTCTCTTCTTTTTCTCCTTGTCCCTGATGCACTTCCTGTTTATGAATCACATCAGTGGGCACTTCAATTCAACTTCATAGTGCAGCAGTGGACTGAAAAATCTCGACATCAGTAAGTTAAGGACTGGTCAGTGTATTTCAAAAACCACAGTGCATCCAGGCTTTCATCTTGTCCTTGCCCTCTCCTTTGAAGCCCCGTGATAGCGTCTGCATAGAAAATGTTGATTTCCTATGCTGTTTTCAGTGTTTGCTTTGGCAGCAAGCTTCAGTCAGATGTTGTGTCAAAAGCACGAAGCGGTCTTTGAATTGGGAGTTCTTCTATTTTTTTTAGTGTTTATTGCACAGACTAGTTTGGGCCAAGGCTTTCATCTTTATTGAGTATGGTTGAGTTGTCTCACCAGTCCGCCATTGTTTCTTTTGCAGTTCTAGAGTCAAAGTATTAATGAGCTGCTAGCAAGAGATCAGGAAATATGCAACACCGCATATGAACAGCACTTGTCTAACAAGAAGCTCTAAACACTTACTGGCCACTTTAGTACCCAGAGTCTTTTATTAATGGAACTGTATGATTTGTGATTAATTTTTCAAATTGAGGTACCAGCTGTTCTTCAGGAATCAAATGCCAAGCACTTTCCATCTGACAGCTGTTGTAGCCAAAACCAGAACAAGTAAAACTACCAATAACCCAACACAGTAATTTAATGCAAAAATATTTCTACTGCAGCAGACCTGCCTATTTTCTGGACAAACAGATACAGATACTCTGTGGTACTTCTCAGTACCACAGAGTATCTGCAGGTTTCAACAATTCAAATTTAAGACTTTTTAAATGCTGCTTTGAAAGAAAAATGGCATAAATACCACTTTGAATAAAATTTAAGACCAAAAAAAGCTATAAATATATGGGATGGTCTGGGAATCCTGTTGAATTACAATCAAGCATAGCAAAATCTTTTACATTTCTGGGGCCTTTTTGTGGCTCTTGGCAGCATCTTTGTGCTTCTTGTCCTCACAATGCAAATGTTTTTGTTTTTTCACAGAATGCACCTAGCCAAATATGGGTTGGCAACAGAAGTGACCCAGAGGCCACAACTAATATTATTTGTTGTGGCTGACCAACGATAAATTTTACGCTTAAAGGGTTCAACACATGCAGATTGACGCTACTCCCTTTCCATTAATTTCCTATAAGATTTATACAATGAGGGGAAAGTCGTTTGCCCTCCTGCAGCCAAGCATCTGATGACATGCATGTGAAATTTTGCTCATAAATGTAGAGGTGACAAGATCAAAGATTTTCAACTTTTGTCACAGATATCACTATCGCTATTGTTAGGTTTCACCCCATCATTCGTCCATCACCTATGACAGACATAAAAAGCTAACTAGCTAGCAAAGGTGTATTAGCAACTAGTTAGCGGTAGCCTCAATCCAAACTGATTGCTACAGAATGAAATGAAGATGTCGACGCGCAACTCGAACTTCTGCCTGCTGGAAAAGTCACACAAAAAACTATATGAGAATATACAAAAGGAAATAGTTATTTCATGACAACATTTAAAACTTGGGATAGACGTATATAAAGCTAGCTTGTGAATTTAAGATTTTTTAAGACCTTAATTTTAGATGCATGAATTTAAGACTATGTAAAATGCACAGACACCCATTACCAACTGAGTGTTGTACAAATACTTTAGCCTTCCTGACTACTCTTGCTCAGCATGTCCATTCCTTCATGATCCACTTGTATCCAACATCTGGCATCTCCTTCCACCAGGTAACAAAGCTCAAATCATTTCTTGGACAACACAGTTTTTTCACTGTACTCCAATGTTCTCTGCAGTCACTGAATCCCAGTCTAACACAACTCCTTTTGGATATCGAGCTGACAAATCTACAACATGTCTGATGCCAACATCTCAAAGTGTTGACAATACCTTGCTAAAAGTATGTCAAATGTAATAAAGGCAATTGTAAGGGCCAAACTGTGTCAAACCCACTATTAGCACCGTGTTCCCTGAAAGTTGGGACACCGTGTTGCTAAGTGTAGTCACTGTGACAAAAATGCAGTGGACTAGGGTTGCTTTGATAATTAGCCATAATTTCTATATTAAGCAAAAATCAACAGCAATACGGAAGTCAAATGATGTCCAACAAACTAGCACCGAAGCTTTAGCTACAACAGGTGTAGCAGTGAGTGTTGCTAATTGCTGGACTTTGTGTTGCATGTTTGTTTACTGTTATTTGGTATATGTCAATCACTGTTATCTGCTGCACAATGATACTCTATGTATGAACAATATAACATTATGGTGTCTGTGTGTCCCAGTCATGTCAGACAGTTCTATTCAAAATCACATTATGAGGGTGTGTACATCTGTGCTATACTTATTGTAATACATTAATGTAATCATAACAGTATGGGGCCCTGGTGATCACAAATGCTAAGTTTGGTGACATCCTTCAATAATATTACCACAGTACTCTGCGTGTCTCTTTTGAAATGGGTAAAAGCGGTTTTAAATGATCCAAACAACGTTTAACTAATGTAAATGATTTTTGTTTGCTCCTTTGGGTGTTTCAGAGTAGAGCTGCTACTCCTGTGCATCTACAGGAGTCAGAGACTGAATCTTGACTTTAGGATGCTCCATCTTCTTAGTGTAACCACTTTGCCCACCAGAAATGTTGTAATGTTCACATAAAATGTCAAATTTGTATTCAAAATGTACCGTTTGCATCATTGTTTTTCTCAAATCTCAAATTACAGTTTGCTCATGCTGTTTGTTGATTCTCTCCTCTTTTCAATGTCTCTGTCTGTTTTGGTTACCCTACAATATTCCAAGATACAGTTGCATTCAAGCAGCATCAAAATAAATAATAGTGTATCACCATTTTATGCACAATTAACCCAAAACACATTTATATATACGGCTTTAGAAAGATGGGCTACAAAAAAAAAGATTGTCCACAAATACATATTGGCCATTTGGTAATTCACTACTTAGGTTTGACACACATATTTAGGATTAAGGTTGCACCGATTGCATTTTTCTGGCAAATTGCCCATTACCAATTATTAAGAAGCCTGACCTGCTGATTCCAATTTTGACCAATACCATTTATTTTGGTTTGAAATATCACTAAATATAGCATGAAAGTTGGTAAGAGTGATGTGACTATTGTTAACTGCAAACGTTGGCTTAGACATGCCATGACCTGGTGGGCCAGTCTGTCAGTCAAACCTCTCGGGACAGCAGGAGATGACAGTGGTTGAATTCTAAACCTTTGGTTAGGCAGTTAAGATCGGGGGACAAGATCAGCTTCCGATGCAAGTATCGGCCAATCATTGATCTAACTAAATTAAGGAAATCGGCTGGTCAATAAATCTATGCAACCGTATTTAGGATCTTAAGTTTGTTGCTCTGTTAGATCCAAACAGTAAAACGGCTGCAAAAACCAATTGTATCACTGGAGTTTATTATGATTTCGTGTAATGCATTGGCATTTTGGAGGCCTAAACATAAACAAAAACTTTTTGCGGGCACATAAGTTGAATGTGAAACTCACGTATTTTAAGGGTTTTTGCAAAAATCAAAATAAAAATCGTTAGTGTCCTTTCAAAACACCATCCCTCTCCACTTTATTGTAGAGCAGTTGTAGTTCTCAGGGACTACTTACCTCCATGTTATTGGTGTTTCTCTTCTGCCACACCTGACCTGAATAAGTGGGTTACTAACAGTCTCCTGCAGCACTTGATGGGATGCAGAGGAGGTGGTGCAATTACTTGAATCAATTGTTCTGCAACAGAGACGCATCTAAAATATACAGGATTGTTGATATCGGCTCCTCAGTGTTACATAATGTAAAAAAAAAAAAAAAAAAAAAAAAAGAATTTTTAAAAACAAAAAAAAAAAATAATTTCTCAACCTCCCCA